GCGCTCAAACTTTTTCTCCCAGAAGACCCCTGTTTGGCGCAGGAGCCAACAGATAGTGTTTTTCATTTGCCTGTGTGTGTTTGTCCTCCTGTGGAGAGGTTAGTGCAGCATACAAATAAGTATAGGCAGGTTTTTCACACATTAAGACAGGAACTTAGCCTTTTAAGTATTGAAAGGACATACAGTTAATCAAATTATTGTAGTAGTTCTTGCTTGTGGTTGATGTTGAAGAAGTGCTTTATTGTGGTGTTTTTCTACCATTTTGAGTGTCTCTAAACCATCTCTGTATGGGAATATTAATCTCTGTCTCACATACAACTTCAAAATGGTGTCCATCAGAAGGAAAAACAGCCTTTAAGAACCACTGTGTCAGTTTTACTGCACTGAATAGAGTTATATAACAAAAAGGGAATTGCGTGTGTCAATGTAATAGCCTGCATGATTGAACATAATCAAAGAGAGCCATTATTCAAACACCAAATCATTTATTCTCAGATTGCAAATATCATATTCAATTATTAATTTGATTAGTTGCAGCTGATCATTTTTCTTCCCTTTGAAGAGGCGGTTTAGAAATTGTGTAATGAATTGGACCTTTTTTAATTGAAGCAATTGTTTATGAATATGTTTGTTTTTCTATCCGTGCGAATGTTTGCTAGCATCAACCATTAGTCATGCCTGGTTCCATATTGAATTATGGCCCAATTTGTCATTTTGTCACACTGCTAAAAGTTTCAATGTTGGACTATCTTTCTGTCTCTCCCCCTCAATCCCTGTCTGACGGGCACAGCATTCGATCCCGCCACAGAAATCTGTCGGCTTTGAGAAAGCTGATGGCCAATCTCATCACCGTGGCAACATGGCATGGCAACACTAGCTCTGTGTGCCTCATTCAAACAGGAAAGGTGGGAGAGAGGACATGAAATGAAATGAGAGACCACGAGTAATGGGATCAACTTATCAACTTCCACACCTGTCCCAGCGTAGCCCTCAAAGCACAGCTCATTAGATCCCAGCGGCCCTTTTTCTTGCTCTGGGCCGAGATATTATGCTGAACCCTCAGTGAACTGAGAGAACCACGCTTTCCCCAGACAGCTTAAGACAGAGCTTGTAATATGACCATGGCATACTGTGCCACAAATTGTATGGATATTGGATGACCCCCAGTGGGCCCTCCCGTGCAGCTGCGTGACAACATGCATGAAGGATGCATTGGCTTGAACGGTGTTTACGAAAAAGAAACAGTTCAGTAGGACATTTCACAATAAGAGCTTTGAAATGAAAAATACACATTTTTACTTTTAATTAGTATAATTGAATTAGTATTTTATATATATATATATATATACATATATATATATATATATATAATGTTATGTTATGTTAATTATATATACAAGTATAATATATATAATGTTAATCTGTAAAAAAAATTTATAACACTACAAAAAATCACTATTCATTTTGAGATTTGCTATATATTACATTTAACACTGTACTTGTGCCATTCTAAACAATTTTTTTAGTTTTATAATAATAATAATAATACTGTTGAATTTTAATATCAGCCATTTATCGGTTAGCGGGCGATAATTCTGGCCGGTATTGGCGTATCCCTATAGTTGACTATTTGCTCTTATGGTTGTCTGCTATACTTAGTTTTCTTTTCGGGTCAATTGTCATGTCAGAAGATCAATTATAAGATATTGTAATGTAACGTTGCAAGTATTTCTGCTGGAAATGCATCAATGTTTCTGGCCTCAGAAGGCATGTTATGTCAACCATATCACTTTTTTTTCCTGTCTTCCACATGTAAAGGGAGTTAATTTAATGCTGCCACAAACCTTCGAAAGACCCATAATTTATTCCTCACCCGAATGAGAGGAGAGAAATGACAGCGACATTTATAATTCGGCCGTGTCAGGCCCTGAATTTTTCGCTCTCAGGCGAATCCCCAGCAGTGCAAAGTTCTTTTCAATCAAATTATTTGATGAAAGCTGAATGCAAATCGAGCAGTTCTTTTACAATTAATTATCAAAAGACTGGCACACAACACGAGGCTTGTTATAGATTGAACTCCCGTTTGAATACTGATTCTCATTTTTTTCTCATGACAAGATGTTTTGCCTCTATCACTCCCAAACACACACAAAATCACACACACTAAATGATTCAGCAGTTCCTGTTGGCTCATTATAAGTTTGATTTCTCTTTTAATTACTTTGCTGTCTTTGATATATATCAGAATGTTTGCACTGCGAGAGCTCTGCTCGGCTCCATAGGCTTGCCTGGAGGTTCAGGCCAGACATTGAGATCCATGCTAACCTCCCTCTGTCCCGGGTCACGTTTCGACATAGCTCCCTTCCCATGTCCATATGGCAGCGGTATCGATTGGAGGCAGAGTGCAATGTCAAATCTGTTTCTTCCTCAATTGAGGTTACTGCGCAGGTGATTTGCATGCAAAGGGCATCAGAGCAGTTATGGATTTTAAAGCAAAACTAAGCAACAGATACACAGATCCCATGATTTCATTGTCAATGCAGAAACTGTTCACTGCGAGGTTTGTGAAGGCGGACCTAACAGGTTGAAAGTGCATGCATGCTGAAATGACTGATATTGAAGCGTTGCAAGAAATGTTATGATGATCAATTGAGTTCTGTTTGTGCTTATTTGAATCAGTTGTTCCATGAAGTATTGTTCTTTTTTTTTACTTTTCAAAATGCATCTCAATCAAGGTCTAACCCGCTGCAACAAATCACAAAATTAAAAGCGAGGCTTCATTGGATATGAATGGACTTCATATGGACTTAGATTAGTGTGAAATGTTTTCAAGTTCAAAATCAAGTCACACCATTAATGTGCTTTCATGTTTTATCATAGCTGTCATTTCTGAGTTGTACCCATCAATGGTGTTTACCCAGAATATTTATGAAGCTTTTTTGTTCCTAAAGAAGAGCAAGTGTCTTTCATTATAGCCTTTAAGCACCAAAGAGGCTCTTTTTGTAGCCCGTGTCCTGTTATTGCCGTCCTCCTGCGGTGAGATGCTCAGCAACTCTGTTCTGTCACTAGCCTCAGGGGGGTTTAGAAGCCTCATCTCCCCTCACTATCTATCCCGCCACAGAAAGACATACTGAGAGAGGAAAGGAAAGCGAACAAACTCATATAAATCCGTCTTTTCCTTCCTCCAGTCAAGAGAGAGGGATTACAAATCCCTTATTTTTATTTCTTCTCCAGCTTTGATAGCTGATGTAGTGATGGTAGAGTGTGAGAGAGGAAGGGAGAGAGCGCCCTGCTTGCACAGATATGCAATATTCTTAATGTGACTTTGACAATCCCACTGAGGGATTGAATGACAGCCAGTTGATAGGGGAGCGACGATAGTTTTCCCTCTTTTCCTCGCTTTCCTTCTGTTTTTTAAAAGCTTGTACAATTTTACTTTCACTTTCAAATTAGCATCTATTCGGCGTCAAGCAGTTGTTTGTTTTTAGTTTGTTTGAGTTTTCCCTCTTTTCCTCACTTTAATTCGCTTTTAAATAGCTTAAAAACGCGGTGCACATTTTACTTTCACTTTTAAATTAGCGTCAAATCGGCGTCAATTGCTTGAATTCAATTCAAGCAACAAAATACAATGTAGAACATAGAACTTTTATTAACAAAATGAATAAAACTCCATGCTATATGCCTAATATAAAATAACAAATAACTTACACAAAATTTAGGTAGCAAACTGAAGATCAGTAAACACTGTGAAACCAAATAAATAAGAAACGTACGTTATTAGCAAAAACGAATAAGAAAGCTTGGAGACACGGCATAGATGATGTAAAAAAAATACACAGTTTAAATAAATAAAAATCAGCAAACACTGTGGAACCAAATAAATAAGAAATTAATGTTTAAAAAACTTCCAATATCACCTTAGATAAATGGCAGAAGTCAACAGGCTTTTCAAAATCCAAAATATATTTTAAAACAGGCGCTTTTGCATGTCGTTTTAAATCTCTTCTGCCATCATCTTGTCTGTCTCACCTCACTCTTCTTGTCAGCTTCTCCTCATCGACTGTCGGCACGCTGCATTGAGCAGCCGCATTCAGTTTAATTGTATTGTCTGTTCTGTAACTGAACTAAATGATTTTTATTACTTTAAAAAAATCTAAATGACGGTGGGGGCGGTGCCGCGGTGGGCAAGTGACATAACCGGTGTTGTTTATCCGCCATCTCTACCTTTTTGTCGCTCGGCTCGGCTAATGTCCGTCCCATGCACTGAAAGCTCTCTCCTCCACATCACGAGTAGACACGCCCCTTATTGCTGATTGGCTACAAGTTTGTTTTGCTATTCGGCCCGAATCAGTTTTCTAAAGTGTTTTTTAAAAATCACATACCCTGCCTTTAACACCGGTAAAACCGTCAACACCATCTATCGCAGCAACCCTAGTGTGTGTGTGTGTGTGTATTTATTTATTTATTAATGTGTGCATATATATATTTTGTGTGTGTGTGCGTGTGTATATGTTTATTATATTTATTTTATTAAATGTTCATGCATTTTTATTCATCTATTCACTTTTATTTATTGTTTTTTATTAATTTATGTATTCATTATTTTAATTATTGTTTTTAATTTATTTATTTTACTTACTGAATTGTAATTTTTCCAAGTGATGATGTTCCCAGGTGTTGTCAAAGGTTTTGTCCGTTTTAGCGCACCTCTGGCGACGACTGTGTCCTCGACCTATTGCTAAGTGCGGACACACACATACTCTGAGCACTCTAGAGTGTATAACTAATTACCAGCTAGGGTAGAACGACAGAGAAAGAGAGATAAAGAGTGTGTGAGAGAGGGCCAGTCCGAGACGCCTGATCACAGTCATTTAGAGGAGAGTGGTGTATGGCAGCGGCTGGCCTCCTCTGCTCCTGTAACCCTCTCATCTCCTGTCTCTGCTCTTCCTCTCCCACCTCCCCCACTGACCCTCCTCCTCATCCCTCCCTGTGCTTCACAGATGAGTTTAAGGGCACCAGCACCGTGGAGCTGATCAAGAAGGAAGGCACAACCTTGGGCCTGACAGTATCTGGAGGCATCGACAAAGACGGCAAGCCCCGCGTCTCCAACCTGCGCCAGGGCGGCATCGCTGCCAGGTCAGTATTAGCGAGGTTAATTTTGCAAAAACATTGTTGTGTTTTCACGGCATCTCTAATTCGAAACTTGGGAAACATTTGGAAACCGTAATTGGTGCTGTTTGCTAAGGCTGTTATTGACATGAATGACATCTGAAAGCTTTGGGCTTTTCAGGCAAGAAAAAGTCCTTAGACTTACATTGAAAGAGGTACTCGAGTCATATCTAGAAAACATAAAATCATAAATTTGTGGTAGACTTAAGTAAAGCACCTAGCAACTACCCAAAATACTCTAGCAACCACATAGCACAGGGTAAAAACATTTAAAATGCCCTGCATACTGCAGCAGTCACTCATATTAACGTCACATTAGCATTGCTGTGGCTAGTTTTGTAGAGCTAGCCAGCACCAATCACATATTGTTTAGAAAATGTAAGAATTGACTTTCAGTTCAGTTTTGTAGACGCTAGTGTTGCAAAAATTCACATTTGAGGATTTGTGTTATCAGGTTTTTGTTATCTTTTTGTGTTTATGCTAATGATTTTTGCTAAGACAGCATCAATAGGCGGGCTCAGAGAGATCAATGTGTGCTGGAGCTTTGTCTAGGAAGTATGTTGTGTGTGTGTGTGTGTGTGTGTGTGTGTGTGTGCGCGTGCGTGCACATTGTTTTTTCTGTACACAATGTCTGTGTCTGTGTGTGTGTGTGTGTGTGAATAAGGTAGACAGAATCTTTTAATCAATACTGCATAAGCCAGAACTCTTCTCCCATTTCCCTATTGGCTGTCAGACATGGCAGACGGCCTACTGTTCGCTACCGTATCAGCCCTCCCCAAAAACACACACACACCCACAATCCTCAGAAAATGGATCCATATTCATATCCCAGAACAAACACTGCACATGTCGTATAGTGAAACACACACACGTTTAATGCCCTCTTCTTCACAGTCACAGATACTTTTCTTCTTCAAATCCATTGTTTGGCTTTAAACGTTTCACTGCGTATCGACTCTTATGTCTTAAGACACTTGCCCTTATAATTCTACTCGAGCTGAAATAAACTGCCTAACATCACACTCGTTCTTTCAGAATCTGTTGACAATCAGGCCGCCTTGTTAAACACGAGAGCTTTCATCTGAGTGTATGTGTGTCAGAGAAAGAGCGAGATGGAGACTAGAACAGCCTGTCTTGATGCTTCCTTAGAACAAAGTGTTCCCTTCATGGGCTCAGATCAGCTATCAAAGCGCCTCCGAGCTCGACCTGACTCCATCTCCGCCTTATTTTCTGCCTGTCTTTATTTCTTCTCTTTCTTTGTTCGCTCTTTTCTCTCCTCCTGCCTGTTTACTGTGTTCTTTCGGTTATGCAATTTCCTCCTCTCACATTTTCTCCAGCAAATGTATAGAATCTTTTTCTTGGTCTGTTTCTTTGCAGGAGTGACCAGTTGAACGTAGGGGACTATATAAAGTCTGTGAATGGAATCAACTTGACAAAGTTTCGTCATGATGAGATTATTAGTCTGCTGAAGAATGTTGGGGAGAGGGTCGTCCTGGAGGTCGAGTACGAGCTACCACCTGTCTGTGAGTGAGATTAGAAAATTACCATATTACTTATTATAACACAGCTGGAATACTTGACTCTGATTGGTCAGTCGCATCATTCTGCAAGTAAATGTTGCTAAACACAAACACAACTGAATGTTGTCCTATGAAACTGATTTCCTACACATAGAATCATTTCATATACAGAATATATATTTCAGTTGTAATTTATATTAATGCTCAATATAATAATATATTTTTATTTTTATATGAATAATTGTTCATATGTATTTGTGTGTATAAAATTCTATATATATGCATAAAATACAATTTAATAATATCATGTGTATAAACCGTATGTGTATAAACAGTTTTTACTATTTGATAAGAGAATTTTATCACAATTCCAAAATTGTAAATCTAATTGATACAAACAAATAATATTAAAACATTTATACATAAATTACATGTATATGTGTGGTTATGTACGTGTGGGTGTATATGTATTTATTTATACACATATACACATTTATTTAATTGTATTTACACACACACACATTTTACATTATATGTTAAGTACAATTTAATATCATGTATAGAACTGTATGGATTTTTTTTTTTTTCAATTTGATAAAAAAAATTTTTCTTAATTAATTCCTTAATCTTCTGAAATTCTAAACTTATTTGAAACAAACAAGTGTCAATGATATGACAAAATCCTAATCTGAAAATACAAAATAGCAATAAAATGAGGCGTGTTTTATAACAGCAATCTTACGCTGAGTTTCCTCATTCTCAGTGACGTAAATGGCAATTTAGTTTATTCATTTATGTGTTCTGGTCTTGCATTGAGATCTTGGCAGAACTTTGAACAGTTCGTTTCCTTCCTCAGCTGTACAGGGCTCAGGGGTCATGTTCAAAAACGTGGAGGTGACGCTGCACAAAGAAGGCAATACATTCGGTTTCGTCATCAGAGGTGAGTGCCTCTGTAGACTTCTTCACATCCCAGTTCAAATGTCTCTGAGCTCACCTCATCAACACACTTTCATTCACATCTACATCAAACAAAAAAAGACCATTTTTCTCTGAAGATTTCTTTCACTGCCCTTGAGCCCAGTGAAAAGAGATGAAGCAGCTTTCAGTAGTGCCGCTAACACTCATTTTCCAAATATTTACCAAGCAGCATTTTAGACTTCATTAAAAGAAAGAGACCATTTTTCAGATCCATCTACAGTAGGAAGTCTTTTGAAGAGAGAGAGAGGGAAAAAAGTTTTCCTGTCAAGGTCTTGGTTAGCTTCGCTCCTTTTCTCAAATCTGTCTCAAAGAGGCATTTTGAGGACTTTCTTTTCATCTTTGAGACTCCATTTGTGAATTCAATGGTATGCAATTTTATAGCGAGTAGAGGCTTTAAAAATGTATAATCTGGTGCTTTTGTTGAGAATGATATGGAAATTTCAGTGTGGTGAGCAAATGGCCCTTGGTTTGTGCCACTAAGCTAGTATTTGGAGTTATGATTTACCTCATTGGCTAAGTGTACAGTAGGTTAAACTATATAATGTTGAGTAAATATCCTGGAGTGTAAATGCAGGGTTTCGCTATATGGCTACATTTGTTAAATGTGTCAAAACAAGTTGTTTTTTCCATGATGTAGGAGGCGCCCATGAAGACAGAAACAAATCTCGCCCGGTTACCATAACAACCATCAGACCCGGCGGTCCGGCTGACAGGTGAGTTGGTCCTAAACTGAACTGGATTCATCAGCACTGACGTTAAAGCTCTTTTCCAAAACATAAAAGGCATCTTAAATGAAACAGAGTGAGACTTATTAGAGACACTACATCGACTCACAATTGATTTAAATGGGGTTTGGTGTTAGCATTTTGCTAAGCTAATGTCAGGATACTCTAAAAAGCATGAAAATACATATAGCACACAATAATAAAATGAAATGATCAAATTTTAATGACACTGTCCTTCTTTAAAGCCTTAAAACTTTCTTTAATGCCTAAGCAGTTTTGCTCATCTTAGATGGTGTGAGCTGGTTTAAGCTGGATTTATCTGTTGTAAACTGTTTTCCAAGCTGAAGCTGGTTTAGCTGGGCGGCCAATTAAACATAATTTGGCCAAAAAAGGTATTGGGTTAGCAATAATTAATTTTCTTATTTTATGGATAGGCATTAAGAATGCAGTTTTGATTTGTCTGTAGGCAGTTTACTGGGTTTTGGAAAAGTGTTTAAAAATGAGTCACTAGCATTTATGATGCATGTCTTTTTATTTACAGTATTTATTGTTATTTTTCAATTACTGACTTTATTTTTGCATATTGCATTAAATGGTGAAATGGTTATTTTTAACCCATGTGTGTTTCTCTCTCTGTTACCTCGTAATGGGTTGGGCTTTTATCTTTACTGGTCTAGCATAGTTGAACTGTAGTCATTTTTGTGAAATGGCAAGAAATTGCTTGATGAAAATAGTGTTTCCCAGTCGGAGTTCCTTTCGGAACCGGAATGGATTGCCCTGCAACTTCAGCACTCGCTTGAGAATTGCAAATGGACCGGTGTGATATTTCACTCGCTCTGGCGTTTGAACTGCTCTGTTATTACCGTCATTACACGCCAGCCTGTCTCTCCCTTTCCCCACAACCCTTATCAATATTCATTTTGCACACTGGTAATTTTATTTCTTACCGAGAGAGTATTCCCATTTCTTTTGTTCAATGGCATGGCTCCTGTTTTTCTGGGTAAATATCGTGTTCTGTTCCTCTGCAATTTGGTATTGACTGGCCTCTGACATCTTGCAGTCACAGAGAATGGCCCTCCTGGAACATAAAAACAGCAAATTTCATTTCGTTTGAGTGATAAATCAAGCCTCTAACCAAAACTCGACCTCTTGTGGTGCTCCCTGTTATTCCGGGGTTGAAATGTTTTTTGAAACTGTCCTCGCATAAAGCTCAATAGTCTGACATAGCCAGACTTAAATAGAAAGATTCACAAACCGACTAATCACAGTAATTACAGCCTCCACTAATATTTGAATGGAAAAAAACAACAACAACAAAAAAAGGATTGCAAAATGTATGTCTGTCCAAAATTAATAAAACTAATACAGATTATTTCACAGACTTGCACAACCATTTAAAAGTTTAGGGTGGGTATGATTTTTACACTATAAAAGTCTCTCATGTTCACAAAAGCTGCATTTATTTTATCAAAAGTACAGTAAAATATATTGCAATTTTAAATAACTGTTTTAAATATTTTAAAATGTTATTTATTCCTGTGATGCAAAGCTGAATTTACTCCCATCTTCAGTGTCACATGATCCTTCAGTAATCATTCGAATATACTGATTTGGTGCTCAGGAAACATTTCTTATGAATTTTGAAAATAGTTGTGCTGCTTATAACTGTGATACTTTGAATGTTAAGTTCAAAAGAACAGCATTTATTTCTTAATCTTTTGTAATGTCTTTATTGTCACTTTTGGTCACTTTAATGCAATCCTGCTGAATAAAAGTTTTACATTTTTGTATAATAGTATTTAGATACTCGTATATCATCTTACTGACCCCAAACTTTAAACCATTAACATTCTGCTGATGGATATCTAATTTGCTTGCTAGTAAACTATCTTAAATATTAATTCTTCCTGAAAAGCAATCATTTTTGCAGCCATATCTCATAAACACTCCTTTGTTTCCAGGCAGACTGATAAAAAAGCAGAGATGTCAGCCAATCAGATTGGCACTAGATAGATCAGCTAGAATATGCCAGTTTTGTGTGCTGTGTGCATCAGACAGTTAAAGAATGTTGAGTACCAGACGCTCTAATAGAGATGGTCACATTTTCCCCATATTCTTGAGTACTTCGGAAAGGTACATGAGTTTATTTTTATATCTATTGAGCTTCAGTACGGTTCCTGACTCTAATAGTTTAGGAATTACTGTGGTTTTGGAAAGGTCTCTGGTGTGTTGAACACAGACGTAACCTGCCTGCCATGATAACAGATGGAATGTGTGGAATTGTAAAGCCTGTAACCTTTCTGGCATTTTAAAGGCATATTGTTACGAGCAAACAAGCAGAGGACACACAATACAAATGCTATTGTGTCTCTGGGTGCCTCTCTTGTGTACCGCATATTTCTTCTGTAATTCAGATAGGCCATTTCAGTCTGTATTGTATTTTGTTTTCTCTCTCAGGGAAGGTACCATCAAACCCGGCGACAGGCTGCTCAGTATTGACGGAATTCGTCTGCATGGAGCGTCTCACGCAGAGGCCATGAGCATCCTCAAACAATGCGGCCAGGAAGCCACTCTTCTCATAGAGTATGATGTGTCAGTCATGGGTAAGGACACACCCACTTCAACTAATCAGAAAATGCACCTTTATTTTTTTTATCTAAAAAGACTTCTAATTAATTACATGAGGCAAATACAGATGAGATATATCATAAAGGAGATAGCCATATTATTTATCCAAAGTTCTGTCCTGAAACTCTAGATGGCGCAGTCTGAACTCAATCTGACATAATGACATCATTATTCACACGGCGCAACTGATTGGTTCTTTTCGTATCAGTAGCCAATGAGCTTGCTGCTCAACATTCAACTACTCGGCTAGTGCTTGCAGAAACCCTCCACCTTCCCCAGCTCCACCTGTATAGATCTACTACGGGGTAATTTCATGCATATTATATATGGGGGCTATTTCATATATGTTATACGTGCAGCAGCAGTATGTCTTACATGCTCACAGCGGCAATTTTTATTTTCAGTTTTTATTGTAATATTTCAGTATTAATAGATTTGCATTGCTAGACAAATTAAATAGCAGAAGAGAGATTAGGAAAATTAAAAATATATTTTTTTATTTTGTTATATGTGTGTGGTGGTGGTGGTGTTCATAAAAAAAATTCATAAAAAATGAATTGATGTTGCTAAAAGTGTTAATTAAAATTCTATTTACTCACCCTTATTACCAGCATTTGCAAAAAATAGATTAAAAAACCTTAACTAATTCAAAATTATCTCGAAAATGTTTTTTGTTCCTTTTAATTTTATTTAGCTTTTGTTTGAAGTATATTGCACATTTGTAGTTCCCGTTTTATCTTTATTTTTTTGCAAACTCATTTTAATTTCAATTTTAGTTACAATTATGTTACTGTTTTGTTCCCTTCAAGGACTTTTAATATTTTAATACTTTGTCAAGAAGGTGCCCTTCGTGGTTTGTTGAAGACCAGTTGTTCTGTTGTGTTCTGGAACATCTGTTGTGGCCTAATCGTTCCAGCTGGAAGAACATTACAGTAATTGTAAACGCATATCGACTGAAAACAGCAATTACAGAATGTAGCATTTTAGCAATTTTGAAAAAGATCACACAATTATTTTATTTTATCCAGCTCTTGAATGTCGATATGCTTTTGTAGCATTTGTAAATGTCAGGAAAAACACGCTGTGGATAATGACAGAGTGTCAACGAGCTGAATGAGGTGCACAAAAACAAGAAAGAGGGTTGACAGCAAGTGAGCTGAACTGAAATGAAAAGGAAATTCTCTAATATTTGAAGTGGCCCATGGCTGTAACTCATCTTTCCGATGTCTTTGTTGGGCTCTGACCCGGACGTGATAGATTCTCTTTCTGCTGTGCCCAGTGGAAAGGTGCATCCTGCTTCACTGCACTGATATGCCCTTCTATTTGAACAGCACTGTCTGAACAGCATAAAATGCTAACTACCCCACAGTGCCTGTTCGACTGTGTTTTTGGTCAGTGCACTTTCCTTCTCAGTTTAAGTCTTGCTGTATAACTTAAAGATCATTCTATCCTGGATTTCTGTCTGAAATAATGCACTTTCTCCCCACCTAAAATAATTTATACCCTCTTTCTACCCTCTCTCCTCACCTCACACTCTTTCTTTGTTTTATCAGCTCTTGGTGCGATGTGTGTTCATTGGTGCGGAAGACTGAAAAGTGTGACTCATTTTTGAGAATCAGCTCTTTTGAACAGTGTATTTCAATAAACCGATTCAACAAATGATTCAGCATATGCCATTGTGTACTGATACATTACCCCAGGTAGTGTTCTTAGTATGAGCTTGTTTGTTAAAGAGCACATTATGAATCAGATGTTTTGGAAAAAAAGATGATTCTCTGTTCAATAACTCAGTTATTGATTCGTAAACTGCTCAGAATGATTCAGTCCGATTTATAAGTGAATTGTTCAGGAAACCGGTTCTGATTATTCACTAAAAAAGGCCAACTCAAAAGAATGATTAATTTATGATTTCACTTAATTTAGTCACATCAGCGAAAATTCAGTGAAAAAACTATTGATGAAACAGCTTTATGTTGGTCTACATGGCAAATACACATGATCAACCTGAATCTACTGCGAAATCTGCAAAGAAAAAAAATAATTTCACCCTCATGTGAAGTAAGCAAGTTGCATTGATTCCTTTAGAAATTACTCAAATCATTGAACAGTGGTAAATGTGATTGCTCTTTTTCTGTAAAATATATAATCTATGTTTGCTTTCAGTATACATACAATAAAGTCTTATAGTGTGGTCTATTACTAAACTGAGATGTTAAACTACCTCGATTAGACTTTAACAGGTCTAACCGCAGCCGCTCACCCTCATTCACAGTAATGAGGTGTGTGTACGTGTGTGTGTGTGTGGGTGTATAGCCGTCATCCGTAATGTTTTTTTCTTCCAGGTGTTCGGGCACTTAAGCCACACTTACAAATGTATGTAATTTCATACACTGCATTAGAAGCAAAATATCAAATTAAGTTGTTAGCATAGTGGTGTAAATGTAATTCTTATTGGATTTATGAAGGCAATCAGTTCAAGTTTACACAGGTACCGTAGCAGACAAACCACAGGTGTATTCACATTCACTTAAATTTGCCATCAAAAAAAGCTTTTCAAGAATAGTCATAATACTATGAGAGTAAAACTGTGAAATATAAATATTTTCAGAGCAGAAATCACAATACTTATAATGCTGTGTAATACTATTTTGAGAAAAATAGAAAAATATTTTGAGACACAACACTACTTTAGTCTCATAATATAATATAATATAATATAATATAATGCTGTATAATAGTATTGTGAGAAATAATGCTATATAAAAATAATTTGAGGGAAAACAATACTTTAATCACATAATGCTGTGTAATTATGTTTTGAAAAAAGTAATGCTATATAATATGAGGTGAAAACATACTAATTGCAATGCTGTAATAATAATATTTTGAGAAAAAAACAATACTTTAATCTCACAATACAACAATTTTATTCTAGGAATTTTGACTTTATTCTTAAAATGTTACTATTTTAATCTTGTGATGTTACAATTTTATTCTTGTTTTATAACAGTTTTTGAACAATATATCTATTGCATTAACTTTTTTTCTTGAAAAGATGTATTCATTCTGTGTGTCTTAAAAAATAACATTGGTTTGATGTTTTATTACCTAATCCAGTGATTTGAGTTTAATTATGCATTCTATAGCTAAAATATATAGTCTTAAAAATAAAGGTTCTTTACCATCCATGGAACCTTTTCATTCCACAAAAGGTTCTTTATAGTGAAAAAAGGTTCTTGAGATTATTAAAATGTTCTTCACACTAAGAAAAACTTGTTCTTTTAAGAACGGTTCACTGAAAGGTTCTTTGGGGCACTTCTATGGCATCACTGTGAAAACCCATTTTGGAACCTTTATTTTTAAGAGTGTATGTGTTAAAACAGTCTTCATCTTAGACATATACCTCATAAATGTCCATGCAGTGAGGATTCTAAGCATTAGCAGAGCTTCAGTGGACGCCAACTAAGCAAGCTTGGGGTTGGTTTACATAAATATATCATGAACAATTTCAGACCACATTTACAGTTTCCTCTGTGCAGCTTTTTGATTTAGGCTTTATCCAATTTCTGGAGTGTACACCTAACCCAAGATTTCTGATTTGCATTAATATACCAAAAAAGGCAAGCTCTGCCACAGGTTATGAGCCACTTTGTACCCCTATAATGTCCATTTTCTGAATATAATCACTGTCTTTTTCCTCCTTTATAGATTCTGTAGCCACAGCTTCAGGCCCGCTGCTGGTGGAGGTGGCCAAGTCCATGGGCTCCAGTTTAGGTCTGGCTCTCTCTACCTCCATGTACTGCAATAAGCAGGTCATCATCATCGACAAGGTCAAACCAGCCAGCATCGCCGATAGGTAATTACAGCCGCATTCATTTCCCACATGCATAGGAAGGCAACCGTTTCGGTTCCTTATGAAAGAAGCATCATTGCTCATCATGTTTCCATTGTTCTGTGAGCCAGATCAATGCATCGAGAGGAGAGAAATGTGCACTGCAGGAACCTGATGCCTGCTTGTGAAATTTTCAAAGTTTGAAGTGCATAAAGTTTAGCAACTAATTATAGAAATTCAATAACTCATCTAGCCTTCACGCCAGCAGAAAGGCCCGGAACAATAATAAGGGTGGCGGAGTGCTGAGCAAGTGAAAACCTTTCCATCAGAACAGATTAGCACTTTGAAGATGATTCAAGAGTTTGCTCTTGGGAGAACCATTGGGTGGGAATTATAAATACACCTTAAACCCCTTTTCCATCAACAGGGTGCCAGTTTAGATGCTCAATTTGGAACATTATGTGTGTCTCTGCTGCAAAAAAAAACACTTTTATGATATATATATATGATATTAGATAATGATAATTGTAGTAGATAATTGAGAAGAACTGCAATTCAGTGGAAGTTTAGATCTGGAAGAATAGGAAGTGATCTCATTGCTTTTGCAGGTGTGGTGCACTGCACGCAGGTGATCACATCCTCTCGGTGGATGGCACAAGTATGGAGTATTGCACACTGGCCGAGGCCACCCAGCTGCTAGCTAGCGCTTCTGAACACGTCAAAATGGAGATTCTGCCCCACCACCAGACAAGACTGGCCCTCAAGGGCCCTGAACATGGTAAGAAATCCATGCAGACTCACTCTGGACTAGAATTTACATAAAAACTGCATCAATTCCATTGATTTTAATGGGGATAGTGTATTATAAGCATATAGGAAAGGCAAGTCACTGTATCCTTGTTTGATTTCAAACTGATTTGGCTCCTTTTACACCCTTAAACCACTCCATTAGGGCTTTCTCTAGAGCGTAAGACCACTAAAGTGATGCAGATTGGAAAACAAAGTGGATAAGTGCATATTTATTTAGAGGAGTACAGTTTTACTCATTTAGCATTTTATTTTTGGTCACATTTATTAATGAGAGCTGTTCTCTGAAATGTCGTGTATCTTAGATCGCCGTACCTCTTCAAACCTCAATGCTCTGAGGAGAGAGCAGAGACATCCCCTTAACGACTTAATCGATTTATTGAAAGTGATGGCATATGCATAATTGATGCCTACCATAATTCCTGCGTGTCTTTGATATCAACCCTGTAGTTCCTAGATACAGTAGGTTGTCTGAATGCAGCGTTTGACATCTCAGTGCACGGCCAGCTGTGACGGTTATCTTAACGATATTTAAGCATCTTTCCTGCAGAGATATCTGTAATGCAGACAAGGCCGTGAGAGGATAGTGCATCTTGCCTTGTGTCTCAGGTTGTCAGGGGTTATGTGGTGTTCAAACGCTCGTTCTTATCACCGGACAGTTTTTTATTAGGCTGTGCACCACCAAATGCTATGATAACGAGATTTGACGTCATAAGTTTCGAGCAACGATGCTTCTCACAAAGAATGCGTTCTTATGACATCCAATGTGTGCCCTGTCACGTCTTATCAGGAGCAGGAAGCTAACGTTCAAACGCAGAGACAAAGACTAGATTTATAGCACAAAGATGTGGAAGGCCACACTAGAGCACAGCCAGGCAAGAGTGACCAGACCAGAGTCATATTTAAACACCAGAATCAAGTCTTTTTTTTAAATATTTCAACCCAAATCAATATTTTGTGTCTATTTTTTTTACTTATTTGGCAAGTATGCATGTAAAAGGAGGATAATGTTCATCCAGCCAATTGTCATCGCAGAATAAACCTCGAAAGGGTGCTCAGGACCCCAAAGCAAATGCATCCTGCATCACCCTGAAGAGGTGTATTCTGTGATTAAAAACCAGCTGGATGAACATTATCTTGCTTATTACACGCCTATTTGCCACATAAGTAAACAATTAAACACAAAATATTGATTTGAGTTGAAATATTTAAACACAAAGCTTCTGCAAAGCAAAACGGTTGTGAGTCTAGACGAAGTTAAGACAAGACAGAAATTTAAGGCATAATATAGTCGTATCTGTAATTACACCGCTTTTCAGCACATAAGTAAAGACGAGGACATACATTGTTATTCTTAACTGTTTATTATCTTACAAAACAATTGTTCTAGCAACGATACAAACACTTTTCTTCAATTAGCAACACTTTTAGCAACAAGACGAACACTTTTAGCAATACTACTTAATATATTTGATTTTGTGATAGTGTATGACAAGCCCCACTCACCCAAGTATTTTGAGCAGTAGGATTATATAAAATATGTAATATAAAATGATTAAATGTTTAAGCATATAAGTTAAAATTACAAAAGGAACATTCAGCGAGCAGTAGGGTTGTGACGGTGAGGACATTTTCCTGTATAAGTAAACATATATATAACCACATATATAAGAAACGTAGGACGTTTATTAGCAAAACGAGTAAGAAAGCTTGGCGGCACGGCATACACCTTGATGTCAAATAAAATAAATAAATGACACAAAGTTTAAATAAAGTAAAAATCAGCAAACAATGTGGAACCAATTAAATAAGAAACGAATGTTTAAAAAAAACTTCCAAAATCACCTTAGATAAACGGCAAAAGTCAACAGGCTTTTCAAAATCCAAAATATTGCCAAACAGGCGCTTTTGCATTTCGTTTCGAAACTAAATCATCCGCCTTCGTCTTGTCTGTCTCACCTCACTCTTCTTGTCAGTCAGCTCGACTCACTTTCCTCACTGGAGAAATTAAATCTGATCTGTGATGCGACTGTTGTTCGGCACGCTGCATTGAGCAGCCGCGTTCAGTTTTTAATTGTAGTGTCTGTTCTTTTACTGAACTAAATGATTTTTATTACTATAAAAAATCAAAACGACGGTGGGGGTCGGTGCCGCGGTGGGCAAGTGACGCAACCGGTGTTGCGGCTTAACACCGGTATAACCGTCAGCACCATCTATCGCGGCAAGCCTAGCGAGCAGTACTTTTTACTTTCAATACTTAAGTACATAAAAAATCTAATACTTTTGTATTATTACGCGAGTAAAATTGAAAAGGGGTACATAATACTTTTATTAGAGTAATATATTATTATGGTGTGTGCACAAAAAAACGATGCGAATATTCACATCGTGTTACTCGCTCTAGATTATTCACAGGATGTTTTTTGCGTAACTCGCGCAAATAAAAAAATAATAATGCTCTCCTACATTTTTTGACTAGTTCTGACTAGTTCACACCAATTTGCGTCATTCATGTATTTGCATTGACTTCGTATGTACTCTACTCGCGCAAATAATTACATTAGCTTTCGGTGTGCACACACCATTAGAGTATCTGTACTTAAACTCAAGTACCAATACCAAAGCAGCCACCCAGAACCATAACAACTGTATAGTGACATGCTAAAACCACTTCAGCATCTGCATTGCAAAACCCTGGCAACCAGCCCACAACACAAACCACAAATAACACTAGTTAGCTTATTACTCTGCCTTTGCTGCTGGTCTGCTTGGCAAAAAAGAGGTCAAAACGCATCATATATGTACGGCCCAGATGTTCTGCTGATGGCCTTCACTGAGTAAAAAAATAAATTAATAAATCCTATTGACGAATTTAATTATTTTGCAGAACGTCCACAAGGTCAGTGGCTGTATGACCTTTATGCTATGGACTTAATAAGAACATGGAATAAAGCCTGAGCCCTGAGCACATAAATAAAAGTGAACCCGCACAGCATACTAATGCATCCTGTAGCTCACTGTTAGGGGTTTTCAGAGGCCCCGCATTAGAAAACAATGAAGTGACCCTCGGGTCAGCTGGTGGGAGGCGTCTTGATTGGCTCTTAAGGGAAGGAAATTGAGTTTAGAGCACCATCCAAACACATTGAGTGGACAGAGCTCACTCCTGATTCCCGTGAAGAGCCGCACACGTCTACTGGCATGTCAGGCTTCTGGCATTACTATGCAGAGGCACGTCCACTACGCAGTTCACACACACGCAGACGTGTAGTCTATTTCCTCAGCTCAAGCAGATTTAGTGCAGTGAAGCGTTCTACACTAACACAGATCTAAATGTCAGCCGCTATGAAACTCCAGACAGCTGGCTAATGCCAGAAACGTCACAGCACCAGACAGCTGGCTGACACCACAACGCACGTATTCTACCTTGTCACCGAATACTCATGCATTCCAGACATCGGTTTGGTGGGTTTCCGTGGGCGGCAGTGTGTGTGTCACAGAAAACATCTGAATCTACTGATGAGAAAACAAATATTATCCCTCCAGGCCAATCCCTGCTTGTTTCTGATGCAAACACTGAACACAATCTGTTCGCTGGGCTTCCATGTGCATGTAGTTTGTTGTAGTACATTTTGCAAGTGCACACTACAGAGTGTATATTATACATACTGTATATGTACACTTATACACTATACATGTATAATGTGGTTGATAATTTGTACAATATAACGCATATTAGAAAAGTATACAATATATGACTAAATTTTACCGTTTCAGAAAGGCGGGGCATAGAGGAGAAACAATAATGTACAGTATGTGGAAAATAATGTGTTTTTTAACCTTAAACCACATAAACACATTTCATTACACCAAATACACAAAATAATGTTCTTTTTAGCAACATCATATTGACCCCTTTAAAAATGCTTATAGAGCATGTTAAATATGTCAAAATATGTATGCTATGTATAAATTATATTCAAATATATTATATATTATAAATTAAGTGCATCAAAACTTAAGTTGAAATTGATTTGAGAAAATTTTGAGATTAATCATGATTATTTCCATTTCTTGATACCCTTGGTATAGAGATTCTACATTAATGCCTGCAAACACACCCATCATATTTTCATTTGCCCTTCTTCTCTCTATGATTCATGAACAATCTCTCTTTTTTCCCACACACACATAATTCTAGAAGTAATGGCTCTCATCTGTTAAGGCCTGATTACCTACGGTCTCGATTGATTCTTCACTGTCTTGCAACCCTGTGCTGCTGTTTGATGCTATCGTGATGATGGATCCCTGGTCTCCTGCCTTACACAAAAACACACTCCTCCTTCACCTCTCACCGACTCTCTTTCCTGTCTAATCGCCTCTGCAGCCGCTGCCCTCCAGTTTGCCTCTCTTCTCTCTCAGACTGCTTTTGTAATCTCTCTCTCCAGCCTGTGTGCTTGTGTGTTTGAAAGCACAGCAAACATACTGCTAAAATTAACTGTGAAACAGAAAGGAGCCAAAATAGAAAATGATCAATGCCGGTGTCCGTAGTTGTGTATTCCTACGAGGACACTTTGAGGGTAGCACTAGCTGTTGGTTATTTAAGACCTTGCTATGTGAGTGCTTGTTTTTTTTATTCTTTGTGCCTGCTACTGCAGATATTGTCAGTCTGCTTGTCCAATATGAAAGCCCGAAAGTCTCAGAAGATGCTGTTTGGTACAGTAGCTTGCAGGTGCATTTTTGGTGAGGTTTACATTATTTGAGACACTGGTTGCTTCAACCTAGAACATTCCTAAAACATTCCTAATAAAATTCCATTTTATTTTATTTGATTGTGGACCCATTCATTTTTTTAATGGTTAAAACATTTTTCATTTGTGTTATGCAGAAAAAAAGTAAGTCATAAAACAAGTTTAGAACAACAAACATTTTAACTTTTTAATGAACTATCCCTCCAAATTATTATTATTATTATTTTATTTTTATTTATTTTTAATAACTTCTGCTTGTCTTTTGTCCATACCTGTGCTTATGGTGAAATCTACATTATTTGTAACATCGGTTGTTTCGACCTAGAACATTTCCTAAAGGTATAATTCGCCCTAATTTTATTTTATTTTTATTTTTCGACCCATTTCCTTCAAGTCATACAGGTTTGGAACAACATAACTTTTCACATTTTAGTAAACTATCCCTGCAACAAATATTTGGTATGTCTTGTTTTACTTGTGCTTGTTTTTGTCCAATTTTATACTTGCTTTATGAAGAAAGCCCAATCACAAAGCAGACAAAATAACCCTTCATTAAACTAACTTCGTTAAAAAACGAACTTCGCTAAACTAACTTAAAATAACAGTGTTAAACTAGGGTCATTTTTAACCATAGTACGTAGTTTTGTTCCAGGGTTAATCGCAGTTTGAAAAGCCTTAAAAATGTCTCTCCTTGTATGTTTTATCTGTTGTACACTGGCATTTGTGTGGTGTTGTATGTTTCTTCCTGCTCACGTCCTCCCTCTCTCTCTCCTCTCCGTGTGGTCAGTCAAGGTGCAGAGGAGTAACCGGCCATTGCCCTGGGAATCCGGAACCAACAACAACAGCAACTTCCTTCCCTATCAACACTATAACACCTACCACCCCGACCAGTCCCGCAGCCAGACCAAGCAGAAAACCTCTCCAAACAACCCCCGTAATGTTCCTTCCCTTCTCCTTTATCCTCATCCTCTTGTATCACTCCATGTTTCTCATTATTATCACTGATAAATTGATTTATTCCATTCTTTTAGGTTGATTTTCATTTTCATTGTTTAATAAAAACTCACAGTCTCATATATTTTCAATGAGATTTGGCTATTTAATGCCACAAGAGCAAAAAAACTGTTGCCAAGTTGGGCAGTATGCAACTTTTGCAAATGAGCAGCGACAGCCAGATTCAGGAACTATTGCTGAAGATGAAAGATGTAAAGTTATCTTTAAATAATGATTGCACTTAGTACATCCTGTATTTTTTTTTCTTTATTTTATTTTATTACTTTTTTATTTTATTATTTAAGTAATAATAAATGAAAGAAAAAATACAGGATGTACTAAGTGCAATAATTATTTAAAGATAACTTTACATCTTTCATCTTCAGCCATAGTTACTGAATCTGGCTGTCGCTGCTCATTTGCAAAAGTTGCAGTTTTTTCTTTATTTTATTACTTTTATTTTATATATTTATTTATATATATTTTTTTTTTCCAAAGCAACTTACACATACAAACACACACAAATAAATATTTTTATCAGTTTAAGTCATACATTTTTGGGGAATCGAACCCACAAACCTTTGTGCTTTATTTGACAAGTCTGTTTTTGTTTTTGTCTGTTTTAGTGTGTTTTATTTGATCTCTTTGGAAAACAAAGCAGAACTAATTTCTTCCCTGGCTGTTTCCTTGTCTCTAAACTATGCTGAGGCTAAAGACTGTTTTTCTCTCTCTGCTGCTCTCTTCCTCCATATTATATCTGGCCTTTATTCTCCATCTGTGGGTGTAGCTGAGCTCTATTCTACCAGAGGCGAGAGCACATTACGGAAAAGCTCAGAGTCGCTGAGCCATTCAGGGAGACTTGTGTGGTTTTTGTTGTGCAGAAGATACACAGTAAATCCAGAGGACACCTTTGTGATGCTATTCTTTGGGGGATATGGAACATAATCCTTGTTAAGGAAGCAATATTGCACTATTGACATTCTCGAAATGTGACCTGACTGTTTCTCCCTGTGCGGTCATGGGTGGACTTCAAAGTCTCAAGCACATTCTGGGACATGTAGTCAATGATAATTAATATCCCGAGGCCTTAGATTCCCTCTCTAATTGGCTGATAAGATGGGAAGATTGTCACTTGCCACAAAAGCACTTCTCATTTATGTTTTAGGTCATGCTTTTCCTCTTTCAGCGGCCTTACAGAGTCTGATTTGATTATACAGAATCATTACTATAAATTCCAGCCATCAGGGCTTTATTGATCTCTTTTGTTGTCGCTCTGAGCGTTTCAAGGGCACTGTGAGGCTTAGAGATGACCTGTGCTTGTTCATTTACACTAACAATGGTTTGCAGCATTAAAGCAACTGGAAGTTGTTCATTTTCAGTGAGAGCTGGCGATTAGAGGAAACGTAACAGATTGTTTATGAAAGCGACAAAGTTTAGCGTAGTTTAGCTTTATGTAAGTGAGCAGTGACACGTTTTACTGCCATTGACCCCAAAGTCGGTTGATCATCTTGTGAAGAACTTCTTTCTTAAAATATAATAGCCGTATAATTTTATTTATAAAGACCCATTTATACTGTGATAAAATGTCATAATATATTGTCATGCTAAAAAGACAACATGTTGTTTTCTACACACTTTTAGAGTAATAGAAATGTAGCTGTATAAACTTTTAAATAAAAACAGTTTTTTATATTTTTCTTTTTTTTTATATTTATTTGATTTTTGCATGTTATTTTACAATTTTTAACATTTCTATATTTTGTTTTTTCAAAAACATATATATTTATCTATTCATCTATATTTTTATTCTTAGTAATTAATCTTTGTATCTATTTATTAAATAAATACATAAATATATAACTTAACTTACAAATAGGGCTGCCTAGTGTTTTATTTTTGTTTTTGTTTGCTGTTTTTTTTTTTTATATGAATGGATATTTTCAATGGATATTTTAAACATATTTGTAAAAAAATATTTTATTAAACGTATAATAAATCAAAAAATTATATATATATATATACAGTATATATGTCAATCAATTAAAATATTTAATAGCTATTAATTGCATGATTGTCATGAGTTAACTCGTGATTAATCGCAACTTAATCGCACATTTTTATCTGTTCTAAATGTACCTTAAATTAATACTTTTCAAGTTGTTAATACTCTCTCATCAACAAGGGCATGGACAAATATGGATGATTTATGCAAATGTATGTTTATTATTAGTGAAACCATAGTCAACATACAGGCGTGGGCAAAAGTTTTGGCAGTGACAAATTTTGTGTTTTGCAAAGTTTGCTTATGGACGAAAAATAATGCCATATGTCTTTGAAACAAAAAAGCATGTTGAATAGCACTAACTGAAAAAAATAATGCATTGCATTAACAGTGCTTGCATTTTAATGCCTTGTATTTCCAGGGCTTGCATTTTTAGGTCCTGAATTTTAACATAGTTGTTTATTCAAGCTGTGAATATTTCAGTTCAAAATATTTCACACACATTTTCATAATTAAAAATTCAATATTTCATATTCACCTTCCAGAATTCACTTCCAAAATATTCAATCTGTTTAAAAATACGATGTATAATATTCGACAGGCAAATTTCGGTCCATTTTATTTCACTTTCCAAATTCGCTTCCACAAATTCAGTGGTTAAAATTCAGCAGAAAATTGGCGCAACTGGCTGTTGATGAAGACCAAAGCAGCAGGTGGATTAAGTCATTAATTCACAAAAACTGATCTGCAGAAAAGCGCTAAGTAAAAGTTTTGATTATCGGGGCCAGTATAAACATGTAGAAAAGCTGATTGTGTGTATGTTTAATTCAACATATTCGCTGTTTCCCGTAGCCTACATGTAAGCAGCTTTCTCTACCACAAAGGAGATTATAACAGAGGTGGGAGTAAGTCACACATGTGCTAGTCACAAGTAAGTCTCAAATCTTAACCTTCAAGTCTCAAGCAAGTCCAAGTCAATTTTTGTGAGATAACATTGGTTTTGTTTTTTTTCACAGAACTAATCGTTGCCTGGGTTGCATACATATGTGTGGGGCGGAGCTATCAAAATAGGGGCGAGACCCTTTTGGGGTAGGGGCGTGTTTGTGTTGGTGATTTAAAATGTCAACATTGGCTACCAGAAATCACTTACTCCACCTTTAACTGAATTTATATATTAAAATAACCTAGAAAATACAGTAGTTATGAAAAATAAATAAATAAATTAAAACTACATGGACTAATTTCTGTTACATTTACATTTTTAGGCTAACATAAAAGCATGAAAAGTATTTAGGTACAGCTGTTTCAATATGCCTCAAACATTGAAGAAAACCATGAAAAAGTATTAAACAATTCAAGTATAATGGGTTCTATGCCACCAAATGGCATTCTTCAAACAGACATCACCTTTATGGGACATGAACACATGCTTAAGTTAGATCCTTCCTTTTTAACAAAAGAATAACAACAACAAGAAAAAATATTAATAATTGAATCACACAAACCTTGCACCTGTTTATAATGTACATTAATAATCTCTGTGTGTGTGTGTGAGAGAGAGAGAGAGTGGTGATTTGAGTGAGTGTGATTTATTAATATTTGTGAGTAAATGTGTGTGCACGTGTATGAGTGTGCATGGTTGTGCTTGCAAGTTTGAGTTTTTTTTTTTGTTGTGTTTTGTTTGTGCATGCATGGTTGGGTTCGCAACTGTATGATTTTTTTCTTTTATGCATCCCCATAAACTATCCATAGGCTTTTCACTCAACGTCTAAAACTGAAGACCAATTATTAGACACTTTACTGTACACATGCATATACTAAGTGCTACTGCCAAAAAAAAGCTGAGATTTCCTTATAAACAGTGAATAACCATTTACAATGCATTCCACTTGCAAAAAATTAATTTGGTAGTGCTCACAAACTGTATTTTAATGCAGCCAAATTCTCAATAAAACAGTTTTCACTGGTATATTTTTTCTGTTTCTGTTGTAAGACAACGGGATGAATATGAAATAGAGACTGGCCCATTAAGACTACCAACTCTCCGTTAGATGTAAATCTGTACAAAAATCCTGATTCATAATCACGACGTCGTCTAATGAAATCAAATACACATAAGATAAAGACAATGGCTGTGCTGTGATTTCGGCTATATTTGCATGTAAAATAAGAGTTTGAAGCGACAGAATATCTTGTTTAACCTAAAGCGCTGCTACAACAGAGCAGACGCAGAGAGAGGTGTGTGTGGAAAGCAAGACCTCGCGCTCGTGCGGCAGTACCGGCGAGTCTCAGAAACTAAATAAGGTTTGTCCAAGAAGTCGCAAAATTTGTCGCTAGGAGCTTTTTTGGAAAAAAGTCACTAAAGGGGTCTGCAAAGTCGCTAAATCTAGCGACAAAGTCGCTAGGTTGGCAACACTAGTCCACGCTCTTACGTTCGAGTCATTTAACTCAAGTCCGAGTCAAGTCTCAAGTCATGAATAGGCCTATCAAGTCAAAGTCAAGTCAAGTCTTTTATGAATATTTGTCAAGCAAGTCTCAAATCCTAAAATTTGCGACTTAAGTCTGACTCGAGTCAAGTCATGTGACTTGAGTCCCCCACCTCTGGATTATAATGCTATTTTACCCAACGCTAAAGTACAGAACTAACATTACATCTGAGGAAGACATATATTGCTTTCGGTTGCTTAGTTTCTGTAACTTTGTATCATGGCTTGTGTGACGCTGTGCTGTAATACTGGGGTTCCCCTCATATGTCACACTCCAGGATTCCCCAACAACGCATAAGGCGCCTCAGTGAACTAATACAGTGATATAAGACCTCAGATCTCAGAATAGGCTTTATTGATGATTATGCGAACTATATCGACAGTTAAGCAGATGTAGAATATGAACGAACGCACAAGGTTTCACGCTGTTTCCCTCAGAAATCTGTTAAAGAA